CCAGATTCTAATATTGCCAGAACCCCCCCCCCCCCAGGATTCTTCACCATTCTCTCTCTTTCTTCTTTTTAGAGCTTAGTCACCTCCATTGCTTCAACTTAGACTACTCTTACTCCTTGCCTAGATTTTTTTCAGAATCTATCTTCAACCTACCCATTCTTCAAGTCATCTCACTAGGATATCCATATAGTCATCTTCAGAGCTCTGAGAAATAACCCTTCCTCGTCCCCAAAACTTCTGAAAGATATGCAAATTCCTCTTTTTTTTTTTTTTTTTTGGAGAGCTTTTTTGCTATTGGGCATGTGTGCTCACGAGAAAGACAGAGAGAGACAGAGAGACAGAAAGCAAGAAATCACCCCCCCAGGGAGGATGGCCACACCGCAATCCCTTTTCCTCCATTTTCCTCTTGGGATCTGGGGCACACACACACACGCCTGGCATGAGTTTAAGCCACTGAGTCCGGGACTCAAATTGTGGTCAACAACATGGGAGTCCATGACATAGCCATTACACCAACTGCTGGTCCCATGATGTCCAAATTCCTTAGGCTGACATTCAGACCTTGACTGTCTGCCTGCATCCTTATAATAACCTACCATATTCCCTTACATAGTTTCTTCCCCAGGTCCACTCAAGAGTTCGCCATTCTTGATCATGGGACCTGCACATTCTACATGTCTCCTGGAAAGCCCTGCCACCTCCTTCTCTGCCTGTCAGAATCCAACCATTCTTCTTATCATTTTAAATGGCTTCTATTTTTATGAAGCTCCCAGTTGGAAACTGTTTCCTCTTTGTCTTTACTTCCACTATATTTTGGGAGTGCTTTACGGCATTCAACATACCCTTCTTTGTATAAAAACGTTGGTGTAGCTATCTTACCTTGCTCTCTTCTTTGCAAACTCTTCAAACGTAAGTGCCATTGCACGTGTTCTTCCCCTCTCCCTTGGTGCTTTAGAGAGCCACGTCCATAGAAGATACCCAGCTAGTCACCCTTCTGTTTATTTGAATTCAGCTGTATCTATGAGGAGTGCCCTTTCATGAGTACCTTTTCTTTCTCTCCCACAGAGTCGTCCCCCACTGTACAACTTGACTGCCATGAATGTGCCTACTGCTATTTGGTCTGGAGGACGTGATGTCCTTATAACACGCCAAGATGTGGCCAGGGTACTTCCCCAGATCAGGAGTCTTCGTTACTTCAAAGAGTTCCCAGATTGGAACCACTTTGATTTTGTCTGGGGTCTTGATGCCCCTCAGCGCCTGTACAGTAAAATCATAGCGCTAATGAAGGAATATTCCTAAATGCAGTGCATCGACTTTTCAGTTAAAAGGTGCTTCCAGGCCCACAAGAGGCTTTAGGGGAAATGCTCATGAGTGATGAGGTTGCCCTGGGCACCATTGCTACTATTGCTGAAGCGTTCTCCTGTCTCAGTATCCCAGTGGGAATCATTTGAACTGTTTGGCTCTTTCTCTAAGAAATATCTGAAATCTCAAAATCTCACCCCCTCCATCAGGGGTATAAGCCCTCTTTTTCATCTGAGATGATCTAGCGAGCTCTCTCTGTTCAATGAATAACTAGGAGAGTAGTTAAGACTTTTTCTCATTCCAAGGTATCTATAGAGGTTCATATAGATATATAAGCTTCATGTAAACAATACCCTTTCCCCACCCCTCTTTTCAAAAAATTGAACATAAACATAGGAGTCCTGACCTAAAGAGAAAGATTTTGTCAAGGTGACCATTTATACACACACACACACACACACACACACATTTTAATTTATTGAAGTTTAATTGAGCAAATCTTAACACAACTTGAATCAGACAGTTTCCAGGACCTGAGCAACTCTAGGTACCCTTGTGGTCAACTCAGTATTATAAGTTCCAGAAAGGGAAAGTGATGTGTGCAGGAAAAGGAAAGTGATGAACAAAAACAAAAGTGAAGGAATGAGGTAGAAATCCAATTTCGGTTGGTTACATTCTGAAATCCATTGGTGTTAACACCATTTGAAAGGTAGAATGCCTGTGATTAACTGTAGTCTAGCTGCCATGATTGGCTGTAACTCAGTAAAAAGAAAAAAAAAAAGCAGTGTTATCTAAACGAGGTAGCAATTGGTTTATAGAAACCAAGCAGGAGTACCGAGTCTTTTTCAATATTCTTTTACAATTCACCCCTGGTGGTCAGACTCTCAATTTTGAGAGTCTGACTAAAACTTAGGGCATTGGTATATTGAGTGCTGTGATCTTGGGGCTTACAGAAATCACAATTAGACAGTCATTATTATGATCAGCTATAACCAAGCCATGAAATATGCCCTGATCCACATCAATGAACCTGAAAGAAAAACCAGTGGTCCAGAAAACGAGTAACATTGAAGTGTTCCAGAGCTTCCTTTACTATTACAACACCAGAAGAAAAAAAAGAAAGAAAAAGAAAAAGGGAGAATAATTAGGATAGGCAAAACTGCTCATTATTAAACTATTCACTATAGGCCACTGCCTTTGAAATAAAGCTGAATTAATAAGGTTGTCTGATAATAACATATGAGAGTACACAGGCAGAAGGCAACTGTTGTAGCATGCAAGAAGTAATTCTGTTTTCCTCTAAATAGTAATTAGGCTGATCGGTTGTTATGTTTTCACTATCCAAACAGGAGGAATAGTTTTGTATTTGTACCCAAGTAACATTTAAACAGAACCAAGAAAGCCTCATTTACAACCAGCAAGCGAGGCACTAGAAAACAGTTAAACCTTGCTCCGTTTCAGCCTCCATGAGATGCCGAACACTGATTCTAGGATAAGATATATAGTCGAAAAAGCAGTACAAAGTTTTACTGTCAGCTCCTGAATTCCTGAATAGTGTGAATTTGGAAAAGTTCTTTACCTTCCATGAAGATGTAATTAATAAAAAACTGTTTAGGTTCCGCAGAGAATCAAAAAAAAGTAATATACACATAAATCTTCAATAGTTTATTTTAACCATAAGGAGGTCAATGTAAAGAAGTGTGTTTAGAGTTGTATGCAGGACCAAGGTCCTTTGTATGTTACATGTTGCATAATCATTCTGCAATAATTAATCTATGAAGTAGATTTCCCATGAGCTGAAACACCTGTGCTACAACTCCAGACTTATAATGCTTCTCCTCTCTCCTGCTAGCCCAGCCATCAAAGTCTGTTGGTCAAAAAGAGTGGGTGATTTGGGACCAACAGTTGGTGTAATGGCTATGTCCCTGGACTCCCATGTAGGCGGACTGTGGTTAGAGTCCTGAACCCAGTGGCTTAAACTCATGCGGAGCACGTGTGCATGCATGCCCAAGATGCAGAGAGGAGGATGGAGTAGAAGGGATTCTGGAGTGGCCATCCCCCTAGGGGGTGACTTTTCACTTTCTGTCTCTGTCTCAGGCGAGTGTACGTGCCCTATAGCAAAAACCTCTCAAAAGATAAAAAAGAGAGAGAGGGGGCTATTTGGTGGCTGGTGGGACCAAGTTGTGGACTACAAAGGGAACTTGCAGCCACTCAGCCCAGACACATTTTGTCCAGACTAGAAGGCTGGTGAGGAAGCTCCTTCCTCTTCATCTGGGCATTTTTGGCTTTAGGTGCTTTGTATGCAGAAGTGAGAGTCTAAAAACCAAGACCATTTCAGGTGTGAGGTTCTGGGACAAGGAATCCTATGTGGTCATCGGGATTCAGAGTAGAACTTCCTGAGGCCTGCAAGACCATAGAGTGATCAAGCGAGGAACCAACAAAGGCTCTTTCTGAGTTTTTTTATCTCTCCTAGTAACTAAGGGTCCCAGATTATTTCCTATCATCTCTAATAACAGTGCCCCTCCCCCATTCCCCATCACAGCCATAAGTATGAAGAATGAGTTTTTAATAGAAAATTAAGAAAGAAGTACACCCAAAGACATTTGGGCAGACAAATTGCTAGGCAGCAACTGTGTTTAGAGCAGATTAGGTATTACTTTCATTGTGCGATTTGGTAATGAATATTTAGCAGGGGAGGTTTGTCATGGTAGCTGACTTCTTTATTCAAATTTATAGACGTGTGTGTACTATTTAGCAGGGGAGGTTTGTCATGGTAGCTGGCTTCTTTATTCAAATTTATAGGTGTGTGTGTATTTGTGTGCTTCTCTCTCAGGTGAAGAATTTAATCACCTAATTACCCATACCCAGTGTAGACTTGGAAGTTAAGAAATCTGCATAGGGATGGTCTGCCCTATAGCTTATTGTCACAGTGGGAATTAAGATATGACCAACCATCCCATTGAATTCCTGTGTATATATGAGGAATGACAAGAAGTAAGATAACCTACTTCCCTAAGTATTTTGTTTTGTTTTGTTTTGTTTTATTTAAAAAAAAAAAGCTTAAGTAATAAATAAAACAGCAACAATGGGGGGAAAAAAAGAAAAAAAAAAAAGAAACACTGAGATCTGAGATCAGTCAGTCCCCTTCCCAGAGTCAGGAGCTCATGGGAAGAAGTCCTTGCAAAAAGCCTGATCATATAGCTGTGATTTCAGGGCTGCCTGCTATTTGGCTGTCTATCTATGACAATGACATCACCAAGGACACAGCTTGGTCCCAACAGCCCCTGGGGCATATCCACAGATTTCTGACCCCCCACAGTTCAGGAAAAACAACCAACCCTCACAGACCTCAGCGAGACGCTGTCGCCACATTAGACACCCCGGCTTCCTTGGCAATCCACGGACTTTGGCCTGGGGAAGAAGCTGATGACTACTGAATACAGGACAGCAAACTTGATGCTTGCAAAGGTGTTGGAGGCCCATGGGGAAGTGGGATTAAAAACCTGTGAGCTTCCCTCTACCCATTCATATAAGTGGCACAAAATACCTATGAGAAGATGTGAACTGGGTTCCTGGTAGACCATATTGGGTGTTTAAATTAACTCAGTATTAACTCAGTAAATGCAATTAATAATGGTTGACTCTCTCATTCAACAAATATGTTTATGCAGCCCTGTAGACTTATGTCTATGTGTAAACCAGTTGGAATTCATTTGATAGGCATTACATATATTGTTTAATACAGTAAATAACAAAAATAAAGTAAATAATCCATAATTCATTACTCTTAACAGTGAGTTTTAGTGTCTTAATATAGGATGAGAACTTAAAAGCACACACTTGAGAATCCAAGTTTAAGTGCAAATCTCTCTGTACTTTTTTTCTCTTAAATTTTGCCAGAGAGGACCAGCAGGTGGCATGGAGGTTAAACTGCTAGAATCCTTGTGGTCAACTGCGCTATTCTAGTCCTGGACATTGAGCTTAAAAATCATTCCAAGTATGTGCGTGTGTGTGTGTGTGTGTGTGTGTAAATACCCAGAATTCCTAGAGAAGGGATTGTGGTGTGCCCATCTCCCCTCCGCCCCACCCCCCCAACCCCCAGGGGAGGGAGATTTCTCACTTTCCTTCTCTTTCTCTGTCTGGTGAGCATACATCCCCTATAGCAAAAATTAAAAAGAAAAAAAATAATTGCTAGAGGATATGTGCACCTGCCAGAAACAGAGACAGGGAGAAGAAGAAAGAATCTCCACAGGGATGGTCACACCATAACATCTCTCCTTCATTCCTCCACCCTGTCAGGACTGGGGCATGCCTGCACATGTGCCCAGCATGTTTCTCAAGCTGCCGGCCCAGACATGAACCGCAGGTTTGCCATGTTGTATCCAGCTGCCTCAGCCATCAAGCCATGAAGCCAGCATACCTCTATATTTTTATAAGTATAAATTCTGACTCTTCTAATTTTAGTGAATTTCTTTCATGCAATATAATCAATTTCATAGAGACTAAGTTCAAATGGTAGTTCTTTCATGCAATATAATCAATTTCATAGAGTTCAAATGGTACCTTTTGTGAGACTCATTCAGAAAAGAACAAAGTGGGTATTTCGTCACCAGGGCTGTGTTCTGCTCTGATCACCTTCCCATTCTCCTTTCATAGGAAGTGTGTCGACATCATCCAACGTCTGGCCAAAATGCCACCATTTCTGCAGTTTTCCCTGAACCTTATGGATCAGAATTACTGCTCCCTTTTCTCAATCATTTTTTTTTTTTGAGAGGTTTTTGCTATAGGGCGCGTGCGCTCGCCAGACAGACAGGGAGAGACAGAGAGACAGAAAGCAGGAAATCACCCCCCAGGGGGGATGGCCACGCTGCAATCCCTTCTCCTCCATTCTCCTCTCGGGATCTTGGGCATGCATGCACATGCGCCTGGCGTGAGTTTAAGCCACCGGGTCCGGGACTTGAACCACGGTCGACTACATGGGAGTCCGGCGACATAGC